TGATGAGGATCGACATACTTCTCAGGTACTCCATTCCTCAACACACAGTTCCAAAGTGCGATCCTATCGACAGAGTCAAAGGCCGCGCGGATGTCTAAGAATACGATAACCGTTGGTCTTTGATAAGCATGACGGTGCTCTAGCAGCTGTCTGAGGGTGAAGATTTGCTCAATGCATTCACGACCGGCGCGAAACCCAACCTACTTGTCAAGGGCATGTTCTTCACGTGTCTTGTACGATCTACGAACAATGATAAATGCTAAAGGCTCTGACGCTATCGGGATAAGGCTTATACTCCTGTGATTGACGCAGTCATTGCGCAGACCTTTTTGAGGATGGGGACAACAATCATTTCCCTCCAAGAGGGTCCAGTGGGCCAAACTTTACAGAACAGAGTTGCCAGTTCTCTAACAAGCTTTATTCCACCATCTTTGAATAACGCTGCGGGAGGATTTTCAGAGCTCGGCGCTTTGCGACGTCTCAAGGTTTTCATCTCCTTACGGATTTCTGTATCAGAAGGTGGGTCTGTTGAGACAGACCATGGAAAGCTTGCCGGAATAGCTGTTTGGGAAGCTGACGCTGATGGTCAGCTAAACTGTGCCTATATGTGCTCTGCCCGGTGTGCAAGGTGTCGCTGTTAATTATAAATAAGCGAACCGTCAGCTCCATATATGGTCTCTCTCTTAGGCAAAGCTTTCTTGCCGGTGACTCGAGTGAAATGAACAACTTACGGGAATTTTCCATGACAGCAGCGGGAGTTTTGAGTGCGAGTCTTTTGGATACAACACATCTCGATAGCTAATGTGTCAAGCGTACGAGATAAACCTTCCTGATGAGCTATACACAGGTGTACGCGTATTAAATATGCCTAGTTAGAACGGGCATCTAGGACGAAAAAGTGATTCAACTAGTGGAGAAAGATTCGGTGAGAATCGGACACTATTCGAAGCAGGATGCCAAGAAATAGAGGAAAGATTTCCATCTGTTAGTACAATCGTCTAAAGACCCGATAGAATTGGAGGTGCTCGACGGGAGGGCGGGGGATCAATGTGAAGGAAAAATTAGGAAACAGGAGGATGCGCACGGTGTAGAACGATTTACTTTAATAGAGAAAAGCTGTAGGTTCAAATTCTTGAATAAAAAAGCGGATGTACTTCATGTTGTGTGGGCTGTTTTACACTTCAGTCGCCCAGCCCGAAGTAGGTATTGTTCTAGGGGCACTCTAGCCTGTATACAACCAAACTAAGGAGCAGAAACCTTTTTTTGTGTTCGGACTAGATGTACGAGTGACACAGGCGTCTCTTACTTAACCCCCAACGATAATGCAGAGAGAGAAAACAGAGTGAGACAACAGTCAGTATGTACTGTTTTGATTCGATTTCGATACGCAAACATATAGAACAAGTCGCACATACGAGAACGGCGTAGTGGCGCACAAATCAGGTTGCGTCCTTGACATGTCGATTGCTCGATCGGATAAACATTGGCTGATTCTTTCTGTCATCATCCAATCGGGCTCAGCTTGTCTGGAGCGTTGCGAGCGTACGTGTGGCTTGACTTGGAGGCGTCCGCGATCGGATGGGTTGCCTAAGCTTCGTCCAAACAGCATTGTTCCATATAAGCAGGTGACCGGCTGATTAGTTCATTCGCTTCTATTGGATTACCTTGTCGCGTAGATGGAACTCGACAAAGTGGCAATAACGACATTCAGTCACGGACTGCATTCGCCACGTCACTACGCTACCATAAGACACATGTGGTGTTTTGTGTGGAGAAACCTTACCAAGTGGTAAAGTCACCACATTGTCAAGCATTCCCGCTGGTCGTCCGCGACCGCTTATTCAGTGACCCCAACACACCTTATTGGCGGTTATCCCCGAGTCTCCGGCCGTTCTCCACTCCGCGAACTCGGGACGCGCTCGGTAGCACGCAGCTCTGCTCTTGTCTCCCATTGACATTGTAAGGGTATGTCCACTTTTACGTCAGTTATTCAGACTTTTTGTACATCCTACAACCGGCGTTCATCCCAGCGATGCTGAACCTTTTTGTTGTCGGATAAAACGCCGGATGAAGAACGTCGACAAATCCGTTGGGTAAATAAAATGGGACCACGCGGATGGATGTTGTGTGTATAAAAATCCCAAACAATATTAGGACTCTCTGGAACACCTTCGACAAGCCACGTTTATATCATTTTGGTGGTGATTTACTGCTGTTGACTACTTTTGTACATCTAATTGGATGAAACTAGTGGTTTACCTAGTTTACACTACTCATGAGTTGTTATTGTGTTTTGGCGAAAATTGCCATAGACAGATTACTTTGCTCATCTCCACCAAATTATGCAATGGTGAACTCGCATTTTTCATCACGTTCTCAGCACTTAAAAAAAAAACCCAGAAAATCGTACACACAGGAACATCGGTCCTAAATATCCAATGCTGGCGGCCCCTTCAGTATGTCGCACCTGACGCTGACTCACTTGGTCTTTCGCCGATTTGCAGATTGGTCATGCATCAACCAATGTGCGATATCGCATTGAGCCAATGATGTTTCATCCACTCTAACTGTTCACTAATTGGATAGTGCTTGTGAGGGAGGTACAAATGTCAGCAGTTTATCAAAGTCTAAGACAGCATGGCTGTCCCGAAGAGTGTTATGCAGTGGTAAAACCACTGGACCAAGATGTGATTTGGTCCTTCAAACCTTATTTCCGGAAATAATTTTTGGAATACGATTTATCTTTGGTCGCAGATGGGCAATCCAACATAAAAGCCGGCATGGATATTCTCACGGGCACCCATCTGATCGAAAACGCTTGAACAACTCTTCATCCGCACTGATCAACGCTTTCATAAAATTGTGGTTCATACCTACACCTACCAACAACAATGCAGTACCCATAGGACAAATGCGATTTGATGAAGAATTTTACGCATCGTTTCTATCGATGAGCGTCTTTTTGAAGAAGAAATCACCGGTTTTGAATTAGATGAAGTGAAGAAGTGAGTTACTATGGCTTCGTGGATTTTCAGCAGATGGCCAAACTGAGAAAAGATACTGCGATTGGTGATTTTGCCACAAATAAATCTTTGCATTTTCCTCCGGATTCTTTTGCACTACTTTGGGACACTGGAGCGGTTTTGGCTGCTGTCTTTTCGATGTCCAGTTGAATGATAGTATTTGTCGGATTGGAATGTTCAGGTCGGAATCAATGTTAAAATCGATAATTTATATCGACTAGGATTGCAAGAATGATGAGTAAATGTGATAGTAAAAGACCATTTCCCCATATGAAAGTGACTATTTGCCCCTTCGTTTTACTTATTCCGAATTTTGGCATTGGAAAAGCCTCAGAGCACACCATCAGTCATAGTCGATCCTGATTGGCTCACCTCTTCTTGATTTTTCACTTTCTAGCGAATTTTCAAGGTTGCTTCTGGCCGGTACCAAAACTGTATATAAACAGATGAGTTGTCCACAGTCTTCGCCTTTTGGGTCGAGCCAAATACATAACCTCGCCTGCAGGCCTGTCTTCCGACTTCTCTCTGGTCGGGTTCGGGGATCGTACTACTCTCTCTCTCTGCGCGTTCCTTCCGGTTCTCTTGGGAATTGCGCTATCACAGTCAGGATTATTCGTGTGGTGTTTACTCGGTCTCTGGGTCGTTACGGCTCTTGTTCGTGATCAGTCCTACCACGCGTTCCGTTTGGGTTACGGTTCAGCCTAGTCCGGTTTTATCGTTTTACCCAATGTTACAAAAAGATGCATGAGCGCCACTTTTTATGAAATCACTCAGTGTCTCTAATCTCGTGTTGCCATGCTCTCCTCCACGAAGCCGAAAGCGACTGTCTCCTGGATAGGGTTCTCATATCCTCATGTCATGTCTCAGTTCGACCACTCGGTAGATCGCCCTAGACTTTGGCTTCAACCTGTTTGCAGTTAGCCGTATTTTTCAAATTTTTGTTGGTACTTTTTTCCCTGTTTTAATTCCGTTACTCCCTCTGACTTATTGGTTGTGCCGAGGTTTGTTTTTCCAGCTTCCTATATGAACTGCATCAGACAGAAAGCCTTATCAAAACACTTTGATGAGAAGTTCACGGTTTTTTGTGTTGATTTGAACCCGTTTTTTAACAGACTCGTGAATGACAGATGTCTTTTCTCACCCATTGTTCCGTGTGTTTGNGAACAATTCCGGTATAAATAAAAGAAAACTCTTTGAATATCGCCTCCTGTGATATCCGTCCGTTTCTTATCCTCCTGGCTATCACACTAGCGTGACTGTTCTCGTCACATCGAAATCAGTGAAACTCCACGGGGATAACCAGCTTGTTATTCTAGTATCAAGCATTTGCATTTGACATAGACTGACATATTGTAGATATGCTTTATGGTCAATTGCTTGTATAAATAATACTCCTAAAGAATCCTATTCTGGTTGCTTTATCTCTAGATAGTAAAGGTTGGCATTCAGATCTGACCATTGTCCAAGTCTTGCGCTATCCACCGACAAGACGAGCCCTGTGGGTCAGCTGTTTACTACAGATGTTCCAACAGCTCGTGGGTATCAACACAGTGATGTACTACAGCGCCAGCATCATTTCCATGGCTGGTATCGCGTCCAGTTCGAATCCGAAGCGCCGTGATACGACAGTTGTCTGGATGTCGGCACTCGTCGCTTTTGCCAACTTTGCTTTCTGTTCCACCAGTCCGTTTCTGATCTCCCGTTTTCGTCGACGCACTTTGCTTCTGGCCAGTCTGACCGGAGTTCTGGCTAGCCTAATCTTCTTGGGTGTCACATTTCAACTAATAGCCTCTTATTCCGTTCCGGTGACTTTGGTTGAAAATGAACCCAACACATTGGCAACAAAGGTGGACTGCTCATTGGCGTAAGTTTGACAGGCTACCTGATCTTCTAATCTCTTATTTGAACCATTTTTTCCAGGTCCTATTCATTTGATCTATTACATACCATGTGATTGAATTACTGGTTTTGCAGATAGTATCCACACGTTTTTTTTTCTAACGTCGTAGTGATATACTCCGGGTCCCGTTCCACGCCTCGCAAAGCATGTTGAATAGTTTCGGGTTGAGGAAATACATTGGACGTTCCCTGGATTAATTAGTTTGTCATTGGATATGCGTATAACACAGATATTGACAACGAACCATATTAGTATTCACACCTGCTTACGAATCGCTCCGAAACATCTATTCCTCATTGTAGATTAATGCCTGTTAGAATGCTAAATGCTCCTCAGTTTAGTGTTTTTCCACATCTTATCACTGAATAAAACATTGACCACGGCTTATGCGTAACACCACTAGTGATCAACGTGTCCCATCGGATAGACGGCTTCATCCGAAATCGTTAGCCGTTGTTGTTGGGAACGGTTGTTCTGTCACAATCAGTGAGACGGTAAATTTAACATGATAAGTAGCAAGAAACATATTGCTTTCATGGAGGAGGCACTATTTGAACCGCGAAAAATAAGTATTCTGCTTTCTTCTTTCCTTCACCTTCCTCGGATGTCTCGGTGTTTACAAGCCTATCCCCCGCCTCCCCCCTAAGAAGCACTCTCATGGAGTGCATTTCCTATCATACCATCACGACGAGACTGTACTTTGACGTGGCGTGATGGCTTGCGTGCCTTCATGAGCTATACAGGATATCTCCTCAGAACCGCAGATCTAATTATGTCTGAAAGATCAATGGGTAGAGGCCAGGCAAAGTTTAGTATCACAAGCCCAGCTGTTGGAGCATCTCTTGATTTCCTTCGTCTGTCCATTCTCGCTCCTGGAGAGGTCAACCTAGCAAATAAACACTGGGAGGGGCAGTTTACCGGTCAAAAAACCCCGCTGGATGGACTTAGGAGCGGGGTACTTATGACTTCCTCCTGATGGTGGGAAAAGTCTTCGCATTTCGTTGGACAGCTACCGCCCACCCAAGCTCGGCAGCCCCCAGCCAATAAGGTGCTGTCCCCTACACGTTCCGCTTGTCTTATTGACCAAGCTGGGCAAACCCCAGCCAATAAGGTGCTGTCCCGTCCACGTTCCGCTTGTCTCATGAGGCTGATGAGGCTGAGGGCTGATCCCGAAAAGCGGACCGAAAATCAACGCACCAGCGAACAACACAGTCAATCGAAATTCAAATGCCTTGCGTGACAGGTCTCCAGAAGCTCCCACACGGGTGCTTCGTTCACGCTCCCGTGTTGGATCTATGCCCCACTGTCTTTTGAGTGGAAGGTTCCGGTTAGGGTTCCCAAAGAAAAACCCATCGTTGGTGTGGACTACCGCGAAGTATGTGGTGCCGTAAAGTCTTAGGTACCCATTTGGAAAACCCTCCTTGCCATCTGTCTAGTTCTTCTGAATCATGAACACTCCCAAACGCCCATCGGACCCATCGGATATCACTCAGCGTTTTACCAATAAGTCCAAACAATCAGAAGTTACAGGATTTTTGAAGCAGAAATTCCCTTTTCATTTGACCACGTTCAATTTCCGCATACTCTATCAGATCGGTCAACAAACTGCCTTAGCTAGAACCCCTGAAACTTTCAATTTAGATGTATGTTGTGTCTGCGAAACACATACGAGACCCCACTTCCATTGTCTCCCTGCGTTCTCTTGATCCAACCTCAACCTCACGCTTCACCCTTCGTGTGTCAGACGATTCGGCGTCCGAGGCTCGCAGTGTTGCTCGTTTCGGGATTGCGCTAAGTGCCAAGGCTGAACACTTGCTTCTCGACTGGATTCCAGTCAGTGGCCGACTGTGCGCTGTACGTCTCAACGCGAGTCAACACAACGAAGCGTCAATGTCTATTCGTCGTGTCGGTGTTTGCACTGGCCGATTGCAGAACACCTGAAATCAAGGATAAATTCTGCAAGGACCTTTCTCTATTACTCCAGAGCGTTCGGACATCGTCGTAATCGCCGGAGACTTCAGTGCGCAAGTGGGACCCCTGGACGAATCAGAGAGGCTTCTTTGTTGATCACATGCAATTCCAGCCAACAGGACGGACAACGGCGATCGCCTACTCCAACTCTGTGCCGACCACGGACTGTTCCTGCCAAGCACGGACTTCTGGCACAAGAAACGACACCGCCTTACATAGAAACCGCCAACTTCTCCGCGGCGCTGGACCCAAATCGACCACATCGCTATCAATTACCGCTGGATGGGATCGATTCAAGACGGCCACTCTTACTGGTCAACACCTGTGGATACGGGCCAAGATTTGTTCCGAGCCCAATTCTCCTTACGCCTGGCAAACAACCTTAAAAAAGCCACCGACAACGGATACCTACGATACAACGTCTGAGTTCATCACGGAAAGTGGTATTTGACAAAGTTGCCCTCTCTCGCCTTTTCTATTTAACTTTGTTATAGGTTTGATTATGGAAACAGCCCTATCCTCGTGCAAAGATAGTGGCATCGATTTACTCCCAGGTGGCAGACTGTCTGATCTAGAGTATGCAGACGACATTATGTTGCTAAGTGAAGATTCAGGTGATTTACAAGCTTTTCTGGATAGTTTGAGTGCTAGTGTAGCGATGTTCGGTATGCGTTTTGCACCTTCAAAGTGTAAAATTATGCTACAAGACTGGGTTGGTCCAGCACCCCACCTCACTCTAACTGGGGAAGTAATGGAGGAAATGGATAAGTTTTGTTATCTGGGCAGCTACATCTCACCCGGTGGACGCATCACGGATGAAGTGTCAGATCGCATACAAAAGGGTCGATTGGCATTTGTCAACTTGAGACATCTGTGACGCCGTCGCTACGTCTGGCTCTCTGTGAAGGTTCGAGTGTATGCTGCAGCAGTTCGGCCAGTTCTGCCATATGGCGCAGAAACTTGACCATTAAGAAAACAGGATAAAGATAGACTGTCGGTGTTTGAACATCGCTGCCTACGCAGCATTGCACGAATCTGGTGAGGCAACCGGGAGAACAATGCTGAGGTTAGGCTCAAAGTTTTGGGCAACCGCGGTCTTCCACTGGCGCAAGTGGTCGACCTCCATAGATTACTTCCGTTGAGGCATGTTTTACGCATGTCACCAGGTAGGTTGCCATGGCGAGCGATGTTTGCTGAGGCAGGTATTAGGTGGAATAAAGCCAGGAGCGGTCAAGCTAAGACCTGGCATGGGGGTATGAAAGCCCTAACCAGGAGTCTGGGTGACATAGGTCCCCTGGCTGGGGACCTCGTGATGGTCATAACCGATTGTTAAAGACATTGAGTGATGTGGCTGGATGTCGTAAACAGTGGCGTTCGTGCATCTTCTCAGATTCTCTGCATCATTAGTCCACTGAGTTTCTCAATATTCTCTTCAATCCTACTTCCAACCATCTTGTTTTCCTCCTATTGTTCATCCAAATGGGCAGCCGAGCGATAGCAACCAAAACCGGCTCAGGATGGTGCATAGGTAATGACTACGAACTGAACTGAACCGACCTGTTTACTGTATACTTGGAATTATTTACTGTACATAATGCGACCATCTGTTTTTGCGGAGGGTTTCGCTTCCTGTCTGATTCGTTGGTAATCTCGGTGGGCGTCCCTGGCAAGTCTTTGTAGGAGCGTTTCGTGGTACCAAGTTTGTCTAGTGCAGCTTGTTGTACTGCAGCTTTTACTCTGCACTACTGCATTTTAATGGAGTCAGATACTGTTAAATCCAAATGACTATTCAGGCCAACGTTGAGGGACGCGCAACCTCAGAAGCTAAGTCCAAGTTTTCTAGATGTTTATTCGACTCCAACAATAGCGAATAAGTATGCGGTACTGTAAATATTAAGCGTCACAATTACATAAACAGCACACCTCAAATCGTGACGTTCCCGGGGGTATGTCTGAACTGGTGAAATAAACAATGCCAATCGAGAACCAAGATGCAAACGAGGGAGTTCACCACTCCGTCAAACGAACAGGCGATAAGTGAAATAACGTCAAATTGCACNCAACTCCATACGATAGTAATAGGGTAGGGTGAGTCAGACCATATCAAGGTCAGGGACAACGGTTACGAGAAGGAGAGGGGGAACCAAGTGCGGTGGATGAGTGAAGAGATGGAACGGACGAAAAGTGCATATCCGATGATCGATAATACGTACGGGTCCGACAATGACACTCGAGGGAAAGGTGACTATACCATTTCAAGATAGCTTTGAGAAACTATAATTTTCATTTGCGAAACCGTCAGTTGGAATTGAGAAACCTTCACTTAGATTTGAGAAAGAATTGCTGTGGTTGGATCCGCTTCAGTTCAGCGCACCTCATTGGTCAATTGATCATACATTTTTTCTACCCCCGGATCGACCACCTGTCTTCCCACGCTCTTTCTGTGCTGAAATGAGGCAGACCTCAGTCGTGCATCTTGTCGAGCTCTGTGACGGACGTCGAGTCGGTGGGTCGGTGAACCCATGCTTGTGACAATCAAGTGGGACACTACTCGATATGCACGAAGGATGGCGCACTGTGTCGTGCCCACTACAGCTCTGCCATTGACTCAATAATCAAAGCTGGTCACAGTAACTACGACCAGGGTAGAGTTTTGGGCTTACGGTGCAATCCGAGCTATGTACGAGAATCAGGGGTCTATTGGAATAACAATATTGGTTCAGTGACAGAGGTTGGAATTCTTGAG